CATATATATGTATATATAAATGTATATTTTTGTGTACGGCTGTGTGTGGATATGTTTTCAAGGCAAACACGATGACGTCGAGCTAGCAGAAGAAGAGTAGCTGTCGCACTGGAACAGCAATGGCATGCATTTTATCACTATTGGCGCCCCAAGAGACGAGCGGCCAGCGGCCAGCATAGGTATATAATAATTTCGACAATTTATGAGAATAAATTTTACGTTAGATAATTTAATTTTACGTTAGGCTTTTAATCTAATTGGCAGACATGAAAAAAATAACTGCAAAATATGTTTATCAACAAAGGTCAACAACAAACAATTTTCGTCACATTCGCAAAATTCAGTCTAATTATAACTTAGTATTGTACATACATTTAAGCTCAAGCAATACATATAGATTCATTCATTGTTTTTAACATTATTATATTACTGTAATATTATTGTTATTTTTTTACTTTTGCACTTGAACTACGCGCAAAAAAATGTTATTTAAATAAATAAAATACAAGTGATCCAAACACCCAACATACATACATAACATGGTGTCGTGACTGAGCACTTGGGGCCAAATGCACGAGTTAGAGTGAGACAACAGTTCACTACGTAATATATATTCGAAATGCAAATATGGCGGCGGTAGCGGCACGAGACACAAACCCAGCAATGACCAAGAGAGAGAAAGAGCGAGAGAGAAAGTGGGTTGTATGTTTGTATAGGTCACTCTGTATGTGTATGTGAGTGAGCGCGATTCTCTCCTCGTCGTCTACTATTGATGCCCGAGCTCGAAAGTGAAAAAGCAGGCGGCAAAGAGCACTAACCATTGTTGTTGTTGCTATTGCTGCTGCTCCTGCCGTCGCTATAATTTGCTGTATCTGCAAGTATGTGCCGTGCCGACTACCGTAACGATACGAAGCGACTACGTCACGACGAGCGAACGTATAAATGTCGAATCAAATGTCGCGCCGAAGAGCGTGGAATGTTGACTGCCTGCCTCTAGGTTAATAAATCGTGCTAATAGTGGCACGAATTTAAAGCCGGTTTATATGCAGCAGCAGGAGCAGCAGCCGCAGCCGCTGCCTCAACCTAAACAACTGCAGCCACCGTCGAAGCTGACTGTAAAACCATCAATGAAATTGCGTGCATCCCAGCCCCCTCCCACTCCAAACATAACCGCTTCTGTCCTACCAACTCCTAGATGCACAGTACAGGACTAAAAGAAATCCCCATTTGGCATATATAAAATAGAAAACGGAATGAATCTGAGACGATTTAAATTTTTCGCGCCAAAATGCAATTGTCATACAAGCACACAGATACAGACGCACACGCAGAGATACAAATCAGATGCTGAGGTGAAATGACAAATGAACAGTAAATGCATCAATGCCGGCTTCTTTTTGTTTACTTATTTTTGTTTTGTTTTTTCTTTTTCAAGAAATTACTCTAACGACAAAGGTTCATCAAAATTTGAGTTTTATCTAAAGCAAAAGCAATAAATTCAATAATTTATGTGCGAATATCAATATTAATCTCTCTTTATATATAATTTTAATTGATTCCCTCCATGACAATATACATAGGGGTAGAAAAAGAAAATGCAGCTGGCTTTTTAAGCTACATATTAGATGAAGGGTTGCTTGGCTCAGAGCTCTGAAAATGACTTCTATTGGAAATAGTTGTCAATGTGCAGCATAGAAACATAGGCATATCTACACGGATACACACAAACACACACACATATGTAAAATGCAGCCAGCAACAGTTATTAGTTAATTGTAATCGAGAGGTCGATAAATTCCCATTTTATTGCGTGGGTGTTTGTTGACAGGGCGACAGCGGAACATGAGGCACGTGCAACAGCGGATCGGAAATTCGATTACATTACTTACATTTAGTTTCTTGTTTTGTTTTTGTTGTTGTTTGTGTAGCTAATATCCAAAACAATTCCAATGAATTGTGATTGTTGTTGTTATGCGGAGATATCCCAAATTGTGTATTTTGCAGTTGTTGTGTCGCTGTATCCTTATTGTTGTTGTGTAGCTTATCAATTTGCTTTGATTTTTTGTAGCTGTGGCTTTATTATTATATTTTGTTGTATGTATATAAATATATAGATTTTTCTAACAATAATACAACACGCAAATTCTAAATTTCTACACAATTGTTAAGTGTGTAACTGTATTATAAAAAAAAAGAAGATAGATATTATATTATACACATATATTTGATATACATGTATCAGAGGGCACCACACATTGTTGATGCGCGAGAACATCAACAAAAAAAAAAAAAAAAAATGCGCACATGACGTATCGGCTACGTAGGGTATTGATGACGGGGCGAATACGACGGCGGCGGTTTCGAAAACGTAAGCAGCTACGAGAAACAACGTACGTTCTTACGTGACGTTTTGTTAAACAGCGGCGGCGGCAAAACAGCGCGATACACACACATACGTTAAAAGACTACATTGCGCTCATACACGTAATATATTAATATTATA